TTTGTCACTTTTGATTATATATTCGTGAACTTATCTGAAATTAAAAGGAACAATCGTACAGAATGGATATAGTTGGTTTATATTAATTTTAGATAGTGTAGATGAAGTTTATTAGGATTTTTTAAACTTAGTTTTATAGAAAAATATTATTGGACTCGCAAAAAATGATTATATACTCTATTGGTTTCAATAGTTTTTTTTTTACTAATTCAAGAGTATTTTTGCACAAGGATGGTCAAATTCAAATAGAGATAAATATGAATTTAATATAGATATGATTTGATAATTTAATACATTCTTTATTACTTTATTCGATATTGGCTTATTAAAAGAAAGAAAGAGAACGAAGACGATCAATAAAAGGTTTAAGTAAGCTGCCAAATAAAAATAAGTTTTATTTCAAAACGTAAACGAATTGACACAGTTTCAATTTATCGAATCTTTTTCACAATCAAATCGAATAATAAATAAATCATAAAGTATAAAATGTAGTGAATAAAGAAATTGAACAATTGAAAATTACAAAGAAGAGAAAGACAAAGATATATTCTTTAATTTTTCTCATACCGTTTGTATAATATTTCTATATATAATTGCTTTGTTAACTTATTGCGAATATGACTATCTGTGTATAATTCAAAGTATCCATTCAAACGACATTTAATACCAGCATACAATATAGACAATACAAGATATTAAAGAAAATAGTCGCAACACGTCGTATATTTCGAGCACAGATCTCTATTCCAATCCTTGAACAAGAGCAGAGTGCGAATTCCGTCTCGAGGTTACCGAGACAAAACGCGAACATCGACGACCGGCTGAGAGTCGGGCGTAGTCTCTCTCACACATTATAAGAAAATCCACGGTCGGCTGGGGTGGAATTCACCCTCGCAAATGCGACCTAGCTCAATCCGTCGACCTTCGGACGGTTCCACCTAGGGTGGAACGAATGCGGACGCGAGCCTTGCGAGCCTTGTGCGAACGGCGCGCGGTAACAAGGGCGGCAAGAAGCAGGGAGCTTCACGGGGAAATATCTCGGGGAATAAAGGTATGGGGACGTCTGTCTCCATGGTGATCCCATCGAGCGGCTACGAGCGCAGGGCGGGAAAACGCCCTTCGCGCGCGTCTCGATCCCTTCCCACGCACTGCTCCACGCCGCGCCGCGTCGCGTCGCGCCGGGACGCGCCGAGGGTCAAGAAACCCCTCGCGCGTCGTCTTCGCCGATCGCGGAACGGATACGCGAACAGAGGCGATAGGAGAGAGGGCTGTCGTCGGGATGAAACGGGAGACAAACTCAATTTTCGTCGAAAGAAGGTCGCCGAGGCGAGACGCGGCGATGAAGGTCAGCCCGGTGAACGAAGATTTAAACTGATTGATCGAGCAGCCCGCCCCGATGAGAGCGAAGGGTGAAACTCGGTATTCCCCTGAAGAGTGCACGATGGTTTTGCTTTCCATTTAATATGCATTTATATTTGTTGTTCAAATAGAAGCAACGTGTACTAAATAAGAAATAAAATTTTTATCTGCACATAAAGGTCCCAATAACTTTGTCGAGGAAATTCAGAGATATATGTATATTGATTATTATATATACTCGGAAAAAAAAAAACGGTTTTGCTGAAATATGTAAAAATTTAGCTAAATACTGGTGTCTGCAAAAAAATTGAATTTTTTACATAATTATTTTGACAATTGAACCAAATTATTTTCAGATCTGTATCTAATTAAAAATTTAGTTATTTCAGCAAAATTTTTTTCTTTCTATGTACAAATAAATAAATCCTCTCAATGACTTTCTCGAGTAAGCTTCTTGAATTGTTGCCCAAAACAAACAATGTGAATATATATATATATATATAACAATATATATATAACACAAAACTCTTTATTAGATAACCCACAACAATTACTGCACCTGACTCCTATTGCCCTATTTTACCCAATTTCTTTATAATGAGTAAGGAGTCTTTGCGAATCAACTTATGTCTTATATTGTTCCTCCTTTTCTAAAACAGTTATACTTTGTTAGAGAGAGAGAGAGAGAGAGAGAGAGAGAGAGATATCGTATAATCTTATCTATCCTTAAATCGCTTAATTAATGTGCACAACGTAATTTCCTTTCTTCACGCAACGAAAATTTAAAATCATTTCTCTTGTCATACTTCTTACCTTTCACATAATGTATAATATTATCAATAAAAGTTGTTTCAAATTATAATAATAGGGAAAGATCGTTATTTTAATTCACAGTGTGTTTCTCAAAGATAAAAAAAATTTCAAGATTTTATATTTTCACACATTTAAATATTAATTATATTACGAGTACATATTACTTATATATTATATTTTAGGAAAGAGAAAAAAATCTTTTTTTTTCAGATACGAGTATTTCATTAAATTTTTTTCTATTTTAAACATTCTTCTATTTTTAAAGTCTTCAGTTCCGCCTTCTATTTTTAAGCAAATGAATTTCTTTTATCAAGTTTTATTGCAATAGGCCTTGGTAAGCGCCACGCACTGCAACTATAATGATAAATGAGTAAAACAGCTGTGTCTGCGTTGCCAATGATACTTATGAAAGATACACGTGTTTCAACACCGTCGCAGGTAAATGAAGCGACTTTATCTTTTCAAAGCAATGTCTCCATATCGTTACGTAATGAGGAAGAAGAAAAAACGTTCTAGCGCCTGTGACGCCTGGAAAATACAAGAGGTGATTCGAGCTTGCGTTGGTTGTGACGTCAGCTTATCACTCATAAAGTATTTAACGAAAGATAAGAGATTGTTCTACATTTTGTTGGCTTAACTGAGTTTGATTTTAGTCGAAATTTTAGATAACATTTTATTGCGCTGAATATAACAGATACAATCGATGGACAGAATTGATATTAACTCACGACTTATTAATACTTTGTTATCAGTTATCAAAATTACATTTTGTATAATTTTATTTTTACATGGAAAAAACGGTTTTATTGAAGCATTTAAAAATTTAGCTGAATACAAATCTAAAAATAATCGTACTGAATTAAAATAATTATGTACAGCATTTAAATTTACTGCTAGAATGTCAAAATATTTTTTGCAACATTATTCATCATGTTTGAGTTGCCAACATGATTACTTTAATGATTCAATAAAATTATTTTTACATCAGTATTTAGTTAAATTTTTAGATATTTTAGCAAAATCGTTCTTTTCGTGTAGACATACTTATTTCTTTATTTATATATTAGACCAATTTTTATTATCGTCTATTAATATCAATCGACATTTGCCGCAGTTGTATTTATTTGCTTTTGCATGCTCCACATGAAAGAGATGGGAACCATAAATATTTTCCCTCGGCGAATCTAATCGGCGTCTGAATGTATTGATCCTTGAATTTTAACTTTCTTAAGCGAATACACATACTCCGTGGTGTTTGACCGAACAATTATGCCAAGTTTGCGCAAGCGCCGCTTTCAATTAACTGCAATTAAATGTACACCGGGTTGAAAAAGTAATTTTACGTACAAACTAACTTACAGCTAAAATATTAAGTTTTATTACATATTAAAACAATTGACTGATATCGTCGCGTTCGGTAGAACTGCCAGCAGCTTTTATTCGCGTTCGAGCCTATCTTCTTTAAGAGCGATGGCATTGAAGAGTATATCTTTCTTATTGATTCTTCTTTCATATTTGACACAGAGTTAACTCGAAAACTCTAGCATGTAATCTAGCGAACTATCGAAAAAAGATAAAGCACGTCATACATTTTGTACATTAATATAGGAAAGATATAATATCTATAAATTATTGAGATATAATTTTATGCGATCAGACAGATCGACTTTACAATTAATACTGTGATGAAAGAAGAAAATTGGATAAAAATTGAAATAATAATTTACCGACTTCTCAAGAGTTAATTTGAACTTAATCAATTTTTTTTTCAATTACTATCCAATTATTCTACTTAAAAGCGATACGCAAAATCGCGTGGCAAGTCGCACATTACGTGCGTAAGGCCAATTAATAATTAGCCGGTTGTGAATGTCACGTGCACGGGCGCACGAATGTACGTGAATGTCAGTGTGAACACGTGTACTAGCAGGTTTCTCAAGAACCATAATTTCTGCAGAACTCTTCTTTTTCACAGCCATATCGCGCACTCCCATCCCGTTTAACACGGAACGCTAATTTCCCGAAATTATAAAATAAATTGTCGTTTTTATTAGGCGCATGAGGGCAATGCTGGTCCCTCTTCACGCTCCTCATTACTGATGTGTGTGAAAACACATGTCGAAGTAATGTGAACAATTTATACCAATGGTGGTATTTATGCGGCCAATACTTGTTATTAAGGATTATGAAGGAACATTTTCCCCTGATAAATTTCAATTAAACGGCCGCGCGTACGCCATTCGAGGCGAACGAGGTCAGTCGAGCTTTCCACGGATTTTGACGGTTTTAAAGGGATGCTAGCGTCGTCTGTTTTATCTATAAAAATATCTTTTTTGTTACACGAAGGGAGACTGCAGGGATCAAAAGTAATATATAGGTAAGTCATAATACTTACATAAAGAAACGTTATAAACAAAATGTATAAGCGTAAGAAAGAGATAAATAAGTTTATAATATAAATAATTAAAAACTTCTATCTCTTTTTCATGCGTTTGTATTTTGTTTATAACGTTTTTTTATGTAAGTGTTACAACTCGTATATTACTTTTGACGCCTACAGTCGTGTTACTTTTGATCCCAGTCGCCTATATGTTGTATTATTAATAATTAAAGTTCTTTTTCTATGATTAAAATACACATGCTAATGTATCTGGTTCTAATTTATTTTATGACAAAAACTGAAGAAAATAAAGAAATTACTTTCTTATCGATTTTTACTTATCGATTGTTACACTATGTGGTGACATTAGCAACTAAAGTTAATTCATTGAAACATTTACCTCATGGAAAGGTTAAAATGCAGATTATATTCGTGAAATAAAGGCAGAGCTAAATGTGAAATAAATAAATGAGTAAATCAGTTAAAAGATTACTTCTTTTAACAAATATATGTGTGCATACGGTAATGTAGTATGTAGTGATGTGTCGATGTGTCATAAATCATATGGTAAACAATATGGTAAGTCACATAAATCGTATATGTGTAAATCACATTTAATCGATAAAACAATAATCCTGTCAAAGTCTAGCCGTCACGCTAACATCCCCTTAAAGTTAATATCGTGTAATTGATTGGCATTGACTGTTCAGATAAAAATCGCATTGCGAATTTAAATATGCAAAACCGATGTGAGTAACGACGTAGATCTTTACCCATGCCTGACAAGCTATGTATTTATCTCCGTGAACTATACGAATTTTGAAAGCATTATCGAAATTATGAGAGAGGGAGAGAGAGAGAGAGAGAGAGAGAGAGAGAAGCGCGAAGTTCTGACAGTTCTCTTAACCTGGCGTGAGCTAGGTGGTAAAGTACTTAAAAGTACTACCTAAATATAAAGTACTTCATAAGACACAACGGATCTCCCACTAAATAAAAACTGTAAATAAAATATTCAGAATTACAAGAAAATTATGTTTATTAAATGCAAATTGGTAACAATTTTAAACGTTAAAGAGATCAATGTGTCGAGTGTGACATATCCGACCTAGCTTCGTCAATCATTCGGAAAAATTGACTTTTTCAACTCTCTATGATAAGATCGAGGCTTCATTAGTCGAAGCTTATTGTATATTTTCTGAATTTATTTAAAGACAATTAATAGACTTTATTGTATTTTTCCAACTATAAATAGGAAAGTTTACTTTTGTCGTTTACTTTTTATAATAAATGATTTGCTAATGACGTTGCAATTTTGTATAATATTAACCATATCTGACTAAAAGCTAGTGTTGGGAAAATTATTTTTGAAAAATAACTTATTTGTGACGCGTCCATTTGTTAGGTTCCTTTAAAAGTAACGAATCGACGCATCACAATGAGTTATTTTCTTCAATAACGAATAATGATGCATAATGATAATGTATAATCTTGCCTATTCGATTGTCTGTTTGTAAGATTTCTTAGAAACGACCTAACTTCCAAATTTCAACAATAGATTTCAAAGGAATCTATTTGACCTCAGTCAAAGCAGTCTGAGCGAGTTAATTAATTAAAAGTTAACATCAATTTTAACGAAATTCTTCCAATAATTACAGATTATTTGCTGCACTGAAAAAAATTTACTACATCCCAAAAAATATTTTTTAAAACATTTGTAAGTAATTTATTATATCTTAATAAATATTTTTTTGAGTATTTGAATATCTGATCTGAAAAATTTGACATCATTACTTAAAATAGTGAAAATATTATTAAAATTATAAAAATTGCAAAAATTAATGAAATTATTCTAATAAAAAATCTCGAAGTTAACGATCCTACTAATCCTACTTAATTAATTGACTAGATTAATGAAATTAAAAATGATGAATATATACCACGGCAATAAATTACGCAGGGACACAATTTCTGACAAAAGAATTTTCAAATCTTCGATGCGTTTTATTTTCATCTAAATTATCACGAAGACGTTTATGCTCATTGCCGCTAACGGTACGTATTTGTGCGCCATACATATGGAAATCGTCATTTCCCGATGTTAAAATACTTCTCGAGCTGCCGTGAAGCTGTATTCTTAAAATTAAAAGTACCGCTCTTCAGCAGCGCGTGTAAATGATTATGAGCATGCATTCCGCCACACGGCAGCCTCCATCTCTCGTGACGCTCACGCTTACTCCAAACGAGCATGCCACTACATGGTACGAGCACTGTCTTATTAAAGTTAAAGGGTGGTGATCATATACTGCTGCACGTGGCGAGCACCTGCCATTCGCAAGGAGACTTGCCGCGCAAAGAAAGATGGAAGATGTCCGTATATTTCGTCACGAAGAAGAGAGAAGGTGAAGCAAGATGAAGTCGGCGTAAGAAAAGAACAATTAGCGGCAAGGACATCAGTGAATAAAGGGTACGAGACAGTATCACGACGTTGAAAGTCCGAAATGACTGTGCCATTGATCGATATTACTAATCCCGCTATGAACTTGATTGGCAGGACCATTAGCTCGGTTGGTGTTGCTCGATAAGAGTACAGGCGACTCTTTCCCTTCTCCTTTATTCTGCGCAGAAGGGAGAAAGTTGTGCCGGAAGTTCACCCAAGTGCCTTCGCTAAGACTAGACGGCATCGTTAACGATGAACATAAATTCAACCGGTTATCTTCACATGAATCAAATGATAATTAGCATATGTTAGACTCGAGTTGAGTTCGATAAATATAACACTAATCACGCATGTAAAAAGCTGTCTGTATCGAATACAACGGAACTGGCGATTCTGAACGAAGCCACATCACATTCATTGGTTAATAATAGTAATTAACTCTTAGTTGCTCTAATGAGGTCGTCAAACGCGAGAAAACATAATTTTTTTGATAACCATTTTTCGAGCATACAACTTAATGAATTTTTCAATTAATTTAAATTTTATTATTTTTTTTTTTAATATATAAATCGAATTGTGAACAATTAATTTTATAATTCTAGCCAAGATGTCTTGGTAATAAAATTTAAAAAATGCGGTATGTGAAATCCATACACATGATATTTTTCAATAAGAGACCTCCTCCTGAGAGAAAAGGAAGAAAAATGAACTGGTGCAAAAGTTCTGCTAAAATGGAGCCTGCTTTCTTGAGTATGACAGACCAGTGCACAATGAATCGCACAATGAATAATCGTTACATTCTTATTGTTCGCTAATGTTAAACGAAGATGACATTGACCATTTTTCGCACTGTGTCGCACTGTGTCGCTTGCTGGGAAGCATTCAATAATAGATAGCATGTGGTGTAAGGAAACATAGTTACCACATGCGAGAAAAAGGGATTACAATTAGATTTTTCAGCCTCTCTTTACAAAAGAAGAGACTTGCATAAATACAGTGTGCTTCTTATGTTCTTTTGTTAAAAGGAAGAACGAAGACCCTTTTTTTTTACTTAGAAGGCTTTGTTCAGGCATATGTTCAGTCTAGCTATATCATGTATGGTAAAATATTTATTACAATCATCTCCAAGTTTATTCAATATTAAATGAAAAATAACATTTCGATATCTAATTAAAATACGCGTCTCCAATTGAAATATCTCTCACAATTTTGCAAAATTCTTTGATTTTCAACTATTTACAAAGCCGCTATGATGCATTATTAATGAAATATTTTATTAAACTGTTTAGTTTGCGGATATCATACATGACATTACTAGTTTTTATGTTTTTTATAACCTATATGTTCATCTATTATAACCCTCCTCTGCCAAGCGGTTGAATATAAAAAACAATAATCACAACTTTGAAATCTCACTTTCAGGTTCTGATGAGGTCCAGAAGAAATTGACGTCAGAGCGGTCAGAGAGTCCGAGACTGAAAGAACGCGCGGTAGGTCCAGTATTGGTCTCTGTATAAGGATGACCACTCCATCAGAGGCGTCAGAGCAGCTTACGATTGATCATTGTTAATTCCCGTGATCCATGAAGAATATTACATTCGAGGTTTGTACAAAACCATCCTCGTTCTCTTATGCGTGTAATAGGCCGACCGCGTTCGCAAAACCACCGTCGTGAAGGTACTTGACGCGCGGTATCGTAAACTGTGTGACTTTCATCTATCGTGGCGGATCTTCGAGCCATATGGGAGACAAAGTAGTATACGCGATCGGCGGATAGCATCGATGCTTTTTATCGGTTCGACCCGCGAAATTGCCGGCACGCGCAAGGAACTCTTGTCAGTGCTAAACCAGCCGTAAGATCCTCCGTGTTGAAAGCGTTATATGCGGTCTACCTCGAGCCTAAGTCTCTACCTCAGACTTTATCTCCAATACTTTTGCTTTTACTCTCTTGGTTTTACAATCTTGATTCTATCTTCTTTTCTTTGATGCTCGATCGGGCCAGAAAAAGCAGTTGATTCATAATTTCGCAAAAAAAAATATTAAACATATTTCTTATTTATTAATTTAACGCTAATTCTATGCTAAAATCCATATCGGCAATTCCGATTGTAAATACAAGGTTATAATTTACGTTTGTAAATTGTGTACAGGTACAAAAAATATTTATTCTTTGTTGTACTTGCTATAAAAATTATTTGAAAAATATGCAACGAAGAAATTTGACATATGTAATAAATTATACAATCTTTTTGCGTTCGTAACAAAATCATTTTTCTTAGTGTTGTCTCTTCGATGTCTACGCATAACGTTCTATATTATATCTTATATATATACTAACTTCATTGGCTGTATTTATAGAAGACAAATCCGTGATCAGTGATTCTTTAATATAATTACATAGTTCTTGTTTTTAATCTCAATCTAAATATATAAACCAATATTATCGTAATAAAGAATCATTGAATTTTATATTCTGAACGCAGCCATTATTGTCCTTTTTTATGATTTTGTTTCGATTTACTTCATTACTTAATTACACAAGTTGTTATTGTGTTTATGGTTTATATATAATTTCCTTATTTAGAAACCTTTCCTTTCTCTAAGTAATTTTGTTTTAATTCGACTTTATAAATCTTACGATTATTGCATTTAAGACTTATTAAGACTTATTTAAGATTTATTTATTGTAACTTAACTTTCAGTTAAACCATTCATTACTTTTCAGTTATAACCACAAGCTTCCGTTACATATTACTTAGGCTATGATCCACGCTTCGAAGCATTTGTAGCGTCAAGTGGACCGTACCCTTAAATTCATTGCGAAAAATCTCTAACAGTGTAGATATAATAAAGAACTTGTCACACCCACGTGAATATTGAAAAATGGAATAATTACTTTAGTTCTTGCTCCTCTTTTCTAGTTTGTCGTTGTCTATCCAGGATTTTTGTGTTGCGCAATATAAAAAACAAATTTTATACGACGTTCTCGAGGCCGCGAGGACATCGCCGTAGAGAGGCGTCTGACTTAACTCTCATCGTTTCTGATTATTCCGCGATGCGGAGGCAGACGGCCGCCAAGATTCGTGCTCGTTAAGCGTCCGTATTCATATCCCGGGAGGAGAGAAGTATAAACTTCGTGCTGTTCGATTTTTCTCAGTCGAGGACGCAGACCTCGTGTCTTCCCAGCGCGACTGTAGCCGGAGACCTTCAACTGCAGCGTTATGTAGAATAAATGGGTCAAAGTGCCTTCATTCAGAAGATAAAGCTGGTACCATTCCGTTGGATTAAGTGTTCCACCATTACAGTTAATCATTTCTATTATCAAGAATAGACACAAATGTCTGTTTCGTGCGCGCGTTAGTCGATACCGTTAATTAATATCGACGCCAACCTTGCGTCTGAATTTATATCGGCTTCACTGAGACACAATTCACACAGTCTACATAATTAAGAAATATTATGCATTTTATTACTTTAGTTATACAAAAATCCAAAAAAATCATATATTTAAAAAAAATAAATGCAACTTTTAAGAACGTATCAAGTGTTTAATCTCTCTGCAAAAAGTGACTGCAATGGAAATTTATACTCTTCATATAAAAATGAATGTTGTATCAAACAATTCACTAAGATCAATATTATTATTTAACAAAACAATTTTATAGAAAATTTTCTTATTTTATTAACTTTTTTTTTTTTTAATATGTCTACTTCTTATTGAAATAACTTTTTATTCAGATTCTATACGGGGAAGACCCGATCATGCAGTAATACGTATAGGCCAATGTGACTTTATTTCTGAAATTTTTACTTGTGCACAAAAGTGCATATAGGCAAATGATGCTGTAGACAACTATAATGCCTTGCAAGCAAAAGGATCTAACATTATCGGATTAGATTTGACATATTGTCGAGATTGATGTCTATAAGAAAAGAGGATTGTCTATAAAGGTTGCCGAAAAGGAAGAAGTATATTACAGTTTATACCTTTTTTTTTGTTAATCGTCAAAACTGACAGATCTTCCATTTATCTTCCTTTACATACTGCATAGCAACTAAAGCGGCTTTACTTTGTAGCATTGCTAAATCGTTTTCCTTATTTGAATATATCAGGTAAATTTCTGAAGATACGAAAATCGATTTTCGCAGAAATCTCGAAACAAAGAGAGATGCCTTCAGAAGAGGAAGGCGTGAAAAGGAACAAAAGAGAGAGAGGAAGAGAGTCACGACGGATACAACGGAGACGAACAGACTGCCGAAAACTGTGTGGTTGAGACCAACCCGTTTGTTCGTGAAAAAAAAAAGCGCTTCGAGAAAGATCGGCAGGGGATCGGCGAAGGGTCGATCTACCTGTTTCGCTGCTGCGGCGGGTTATATATAGCGTGGATGCTTACAAGTCAAGACGTCTCTCGAAAAAGTGATTTCATTGAGAGAAACAGCCGCGCGCATCGGATCGCGCGGTTCATTAAGATAATTTACACGTTCGGACCGGACTGCTTCTTCTTTTCTAAAAATAAAAAAAAAAACGAAAGGATTACCTCGCGTGCAGCATCTCCCGCTTGAGGCCTGGAACTACAATCCAGCAAACTGTAATCGCGCTCAACAATGTATCGCTGATTATTACGCACGAAAATGAGTAAAATAGTAGTCGAATGATTCGGAGAAACGATATTTTGAAAAATTTCGATGACGTAGTGTATTCTCTGCAGTCATCGGTTCCGCAAAAGTTTGCGACCTACAACTCTCCGATGGGATATTTTTTATTCTTTAATATATCATTCAGATTTGAATCGCGCAAAAAATTTTTTCTATAAGAATTTAATTTTACGAAAAAAATTTTACGAGTGAGAAAAATATTTCACAAAATGAAAACTTAAATATAATATTATTTCTACTTTAATATTAATATATTGTTTATAGTATAGTAATATTTTTATTGAAAAAATGAACAAATTTCATGTAAACATACTATATTATTAATAGCAAGATAAAAATATTTAACTTTAAAGAATTAAAAACAAAATCGTCGATTATGAATAAGTCAACTAACAATAAATATGAGAAGCATCACTTATTGTTAGTCAAATTTGAAATAATATATCTGTATATTATTTAAATAAATTAATCTCAAATACCTATATAATTGCGCGTCGATTTTCAGACTTACACACTCAACTGAAATAATAATCCCCCCAAATTAAATTAGATCGTCAATTTAATGCTACTAGCATCTTAAAAAACATATAAAGAACTTATTACGAAATATTATCTCAGTTGAGAGTCGAAACCGGATCTTCCGAATTCTGTCTTTTCAAAAGGATGCCCGCACAGAATATTATTATTTCAGTTTGCTTGTATTGCAAGCGCGCAATCATATATACCCAAGATACATATATAGATATAATTTAATAGATAATAAAAGGAATAAATTTGCAATATTCAAAACATGATCTAAATACGAATTAGTGATCTCTAGATTACTATATAGAAAAAAATTCACAATTTTTGCAACGTATCCATTATAATCAAGATGTAAACGACGTGTTTACGATGCACATGAGATAGAGTAATGATTTTTGGTATTAATCGAGTGGACACCTCGTTTGATTGCCATGTAATCTAAGAAATGAGAAGGCGATGAGCCGTGAAGTGCACTTTCGTCTACGATTCCGACATCCGATGCTTCCCCTTGCTCGGTAGGACAAGCACCGTTCTCGTGACTTAAAATTTTTAATGGTTTCTTCGCGCTGTTAAATTTCAAATCTCAGAGATTTCATCAATAATTTCTGATAGATAATAACGATACTTGAACACAATGATATATTCTATAGCTGTTAATTGTTTTAATCGCTTTGTTTTTAATACGTTATATCAGGAAATACCGCTACTCACATTTAGCCTTGCTCAATAAAATCTAGGCTCGCTAAAATATGAATCATCGTGATACATTCAAGGATCAATTGCTCATAAATCAAAAACCGATATATAATTATTTTCGAATTTTTCAAACTCTTAAGAAAAGATTGGTAAAAATTACACATTTTTAATAATATTCTCGAAACGATTGAAGAACACATGAAGATTAAAAAAACAAGATGTAATTATAGATTTTTAATAATATTTATAAAACAAATATTACAAAATTAAAACGTTATTTATTTATATGTATCGGAAATATATTTAAAAAAATAAAAAGAGACTCATTAAAAGATTTTAAAAGATTGTGTAAATTTGATGATGAATAAATTTAAAGTATAATAATTGTGAAGAAATATAATACTCTCTTTGCGACACTAACTCGCTGCAACGTTTCCGTATTAATATCCCCGTCGTGCATTCGAAACTCCAGGCATCCCGCGCCCTTTATTTGAATTAGGATAAGGCCGGATGCAGTTATCAAATTTGCAGATAAGGAAGCGGTGTAAGCGCAAGAGGCGTTTCTCGTATTTATAATATTTGTCGTTTGCTCTTTTCGTCGGCACAAAAACCGTTGAGCTCTCTAAGTCGGGTCTTCCTCGAAGAGGAATACCTATAACGGTCCCTAGGGAGATGATAGCATATCTATTCATACATCAGGCTGACAATTCTTAACATTGACCTGGACATTTGAGGGGCATTGCTTTTAAGTGCCTTTAAAATTAATATTCTTCTACAAAGGATCAGAGCTAAAGGTTATAACTATAGTTTTTCTGGCTTTGTCCATGTTATTATATCTAAGGAATTTTTACCTGAAATATTTTCTACAAAACATTTTTCATTTGAATCTTTTATTCTGTCCTAAACAAACTTCCGTAGAATGTTTACTTTAAGGTTTAAAAGAAAGTAACAAAAAAAGTGGATTGTAACAAAAACTGCAATCTTCAAAATTAGTCACACTTCACGATAAGTAATGAAATTTAGTTCTCTAATTATTAAAAAAAAAATATGAATATACTCGATTTCCTGAATTGAATTATAACTTTATATTCTAATGATAAGTCAAGATAAAAAGTGTGCATTATAATGATAGAGAAAAATCTTTTACTTTAATAAGGTCTATTATTCTGTAATTATATTTTTTCAACAATGCATTTATAAGAATTTGTTTTAAATAAAATCGCATACTTTTTTTAGCGTAAATCAGTACTTTACATTATTCTACGTATAAAAATATGAGAATAAGGTAATTGGAATTTTATTAAATTATATTTCATATAATTATTTATATTGCAAAATAATTAATTATATAATATTGTTATAGAAATAACAGGAGAATAATGAGACAATTCTAAAGAAGCTAGAAGTTTAATTTTCGACAAATAATAAAAAATATTTATAGATTAAAGGCACATAATATACATAGCAGACTCCAAATAATCACTCTGTATATTTAACAGATATAGCTTCCGGCGATCATTTTAAAATTCCGATCATATTCAAACCAGTTCACCGATGAATACGGCTATAATCGATCATGAGATTAAATCGTTTACCCAATCATGTACGAGTATATGACACACCACTCCTTCAAATAACGATGACCTAAGCACTTAGTCGAATTCTGTCTATCGATCCAAACTATTATTTCGTCGCATCTCGTTAACAAGCGGATCTATTTTTGCAAAGTTTCACTTAATTTGTCTGAGAAAACAAAAATACATCCAAAAGGAGAAGTAACAATATTAGATTCGATTCGAGATTCTCAAGATTGGACACTGTCCAATGGCGGACCAAACGTTTCAGATAGATTGAGGTAGATATCCATGCAGCTGATTCTATTTTATGCAAGTTGTAAGATAAGATAGATA